CAATAACACACTGAGACCTCTTCTGCTTTGCACCATGTAAGACAGGGGACTGAGCTCCTTTGTAGCTAAGTGGCCTTTATAAATCAACAAGGCCAACGACAGGTCAAAACAAAGGTAGGCACAGGGCCTGAACAGATACTAAAACAGGCAGAAAGATGAACCGATGCTGAACCTCACACATGAGACGTTGGAATTCAAATGTCAGTGAGATTGCAAGTTTCATTTACAAGATTGGGAAAGAATGAACTTGAAAGTGTTGAAGAGGAAGGAGATCACGTTGAGGACTGGTAGGTAGTTACATCATCTCCTGTCAACTTGCGAGGGGGTGGAGTCTAGCCTGTCAATCAGGTCACAGCTTGATGACCTCATTTGGGAGGAGCAAATGGAGATAAAATAATAGCTCACTGGAGGCCAGATACGGGCTCCCTCCCTACAAGACATTCCTATTGACAAGCCACATGGAACTACATGATGAAACCAGAGCCCTGGAGCTGGAGGAACCATGTGGAGACCCACGCCAGTGCTGAGCTGCTTCCACCACCTCTGGATCCACAAGACTTTCCACCCACTGGCCTGTGATCTTCCTGCATTCGGTGTCATTGCATGGCCGCATGAGTCTAAAGAAGAATTTATGGATATATGGGGTGATATCGGATTTATGGACTTGATCTGGACTAGACTGTGATGTTTTCTTTTTTTTAAAAAATATTTTATTTTTTTGACTGGATGTTTCCTTAATGCACCATTGCTCTTTGAGATCAAGTTCTCTCTTAGACACGAGTGTCTACGCATTTTTCTCTAGTCAACCCAGACGAACACAAGGACTAAGGTAAGCCTGCCCCAAACCATGGTATTTTCAAGTGCCTCCTATGGCTGTGAACGTTGAACGTTGACTGAGGAAGACCCAAGAAGAATCGATGTGTTTGCATTGTGGTGCTGGTGAAACATACTGAAAGTACCACAGCCTGCCAGAAGAACAAACCAGTCTGCCTTAGAAGAAGCACACACAGAAATGGTCCTTAGGCCCCAGGAGGGCAAGACTCCGTCTCACATACTTCGGATATGTCATCATGAAGGACCCATTGTTGGAAAGGGACGTTCCGGTTGGTGAGGTAGAAGGTCGGTGAAAAGGAGGAAGACCCTCGGCGAGGTGGCTGCAACAATGGGCTCAGGGCTAACAACGAGTGTGAGGATTGGCGCAGGACCGGTGGTGGTTCCTTCTGTTGTCCTTAGGGCTGGCTGCCGTGAGTTTTTGTTTTTCGAGCTGGACAGAAAAAGCTTGCCACACCTGATTTAAAGTAACCGAAACCGTCTAGAATAACAAGTACCCACTCACGGGAGTGGAAGATAAACGCTAGGGCCTGCACGTACTGTGATGGCATGCAGGCACTTGTATTAAGAGAGAAAGCTAGTGCAAGGGTACACCATGGATGGCCAGGAGAACGAACGAATCTGCCTCGGAGGAAGTACAGCTACAGGATGCCTTAGAATCAAGGATGGCAGACTTCATCTCAAGTGCTTTGGGCACGTGATCAAGAGGGAGCAGTCCTGGAGAAGGGCCTCATGCTTTGTAAAATGCAGGGTTTGTGAAAAAGAGGAAGCCCCTCTATGCGCTGTATTGACCCAGTGGCTGAAACAATGGGCTCAAACATATATTATTTTTCTTCTGTGTATAAGGGGTTGCTTTGAGTTGGAACCAACTGGACAGCACCTGATAGGAGTGTGATGATGGGGTACAATCTCCAAGATAGAAAGTTCAAAACCAAAGGTAAAGACACCTATATATAGGTTCTGGCATCTGTGGTGGCTATACTATCCCAAATTAGAAAACAACAACAACACACAAATGTAATTTGTTTTGTGAGTTTGTAAACTCATACCTGTGGCCTTAGGCATGTATCGTGGTATGTGTTGCCATGTCATGTACACGAGGCTTTGGCTAGTTTGGGTCTGTGAGCCACGAGGATTTCAAACACCATCAGGGTTGCTCACAGAAGGGCAGGTGTCATCGGAGCTTCCAGAGTGAGACTAGCAAGAAGAGCCAGGCGATCTCTTTCTGAAAACCAGCCAGATGAAAAGCCTAGGAATCAGAAGGGAACCTTCCCTGGTGGATAAGTTATAGTGCCTGCGCATGCTGTAATCGAATGCACACACTAAGCTCCTAGATCGGAAGCACTAAAATATATATCACTTACTGAAAACCTCATGAAAAGAAGGAGAACGTTGTCAGGGGTCAGGCCCAGGAGACCAGCCCCTCAGGTCAGAAGGCACGCACAGTATGACTGAGAAAGGGCTGCCTTCTCAATGTAGAGTTGACCATCATGATGTGACTGGAGTTATAAAACCTGTGGGAATAAAA